TCAGTCTACAGGAAACACAGACAAGGTTAAAAACCCCTCGCACCCGCCTCGTCCCACAGTTGAGATCAAAAGTAGAATGCCTCTACCAGTGCACAAGGGGAAACACTAGACAATTTAAAATCCAGTAAGGGTGGGAAGTAGGCTTGCTGTCCTGGAAGATTCTTAGAAATAACGTTACCGGTAAGACTAACCGTAGATTTCTCCAATCTTCCAGGACAGCAACCTGAGAGATAAGCAAGATACACACAAGCCTACCTTGAGACAGGACTTCCACCCTGTAATGTTTAACAAAGGTGTCCTGATTCGACCAAAACGGCAGTCCTGCAGATCTGATCCACGGGAGCTCCGGCCCTTTCAGCCCAGGAAGTCGCTAGAGATGTGGTAGAATGGGCTTTCCACGTAGTTGGGATAGTCCTATCCTCTTTCTTGTATACCGTAGAGACGGCTTGCCTAATCCATCTAGCAATGGTGGCTTTAGAAGCCATGCTACCCTTCTTGCAACCACCAAAAAGAACGAATAACTGGCTGGATTTCCTAAAATCCTTAGTAACCTCTATGTATCGCAGAAGGCATCGTCAGACATCCAGACTATTACATTTTTCCCCAGGTTTTTTTAGGATTTTCACAAAACAAAGGCAAAACCATGTCTTGGGACCTATGAAACCTAGTGGCTACCTTAGGCAGACATAATGGGTCCGGTCTGAGTACAATCCTATCCGGAAAAACGGTAAGATAAGGCTCCTTAATAGATTGCCCTCTCTTCTGGCTGAAGTCACAGCTAACAAAAAAGCCATCTTTAAAGGATAACCATTTAACAGTCAAGCCTTCCATGGGTTCAAAAGGATCTTTGGTAAGACCAGTGAGTACCAAAGACAAGTCCCAAGGAGGAACAAATTAATTCGACAAAGGCGTAATGCGTTCCGTGGCGAGAAAAAAAAAACGTTTAATTAATGCATCCTCTGCTAATCTATTGTCCAGAAAGACAGATAGAGCGGACATTTGCACCCTCAAGGTACTCAGTGCCAACTTCTTATCCACACCCTCTTGAAGGAAGTCCAGAATGACTAGAACTGATGGGCTAGAAATCTGCTTTTGTACGCACCATGAGGAAAAAAAACTTTCCAAACCTTGTTGTAAATTTTCCTTGTCACTAGCTTCCAACTGGACAGCAATGTGTCCACCACCTTTTGAGAACAGCCTTTACTTTCTAGTATCCTCCTTTCAACATCCATACCGTCAAGCAAAAGAATTTTGGCTTGTGACGCCAAACTGGCCCCTGAAGCAGAATGTCCGGCCTGAGGGGCAACATCCATGGAGGCTGAACTGATCTCTGAAGTTCTGGAAACCACACCTTTTGGGCCACCATGGAGCAATCAAAATGAGCCTGCAATCCGATCAACTTAATTTCTGAATCACTCGAGGGAGAAGAAAGAGGAGGCAACGCATAGCCTAGGGGGAACTCCAAGTCCTGTGTCAGAGCATCCACTCCGCTGGAATCCCTCTCCCACAAAAGAGAAAAGGAGAGGCACTTTCCTGTTTTTCCTCGTTGCAAAGAGGTCGACCGAGGGCATTCCTCACCACTCGACAATCTGGGAGAAAATCTCTGTATGAAGCTCCCATTCTCCCTGGAAAATGGGCGCTCGACTCAAATAATCTGCCATCACGTTGGATGTGCCTTTTGTGTGGACTGCGGAAATGGAGATGAAATGCTCCTCCACCCACAGAAGGAACTGAACAGTCTCTTGCAGGAGACTGGGAGACCTGGTCCCCCTCTGATGGTTTAGATATGCTACAGTCGTAGCATTGTCCCGAGAAAATTAGAATTTCATGCCCCTCCAGCTAGTGCTGGAAAGCCAACAAAGCCTGCTTTACTGCCAACAGTTCCCTTAGGTTGGAGGATGCATCCACAAGACCCCTGAGCCTGTAATCATAGAGAATGAGCTCCCCACCCCTGCAAGCTCGCATCCGTAGTGACTTTCACGGGAGCCCGCTGACTCCAAGACCTGCCCTTTGAAAAAGTAAGTGGATTCAACCACCAAGTCAGTGAATGACGTAACCCTACAGGTAAGGAGATCTGATTCTCCAGGGAGTCTTTCCAACGATCCCAATGGGATAGAAGAAAAGACTGAAGGTGCCTTGAGTGCAACTGAGCCCATGTCACTGCTGGAATTGTTGAAGTCATGACTCCCAGGATTCTCATAACCAGTCTTAAGGATAGGAGATCCGCCATAATAGATTTCTGAACTAGGTTTATTATACTGGACACTTTTTTCTCAGAGACAAAAAGCTTTTGGCTTAAAGAATCTATCTGAAACCCCAGGAAGTTTCTGTAACGTGACGGAATCAGTGAGGATTTTTCCAGATTGATCAGCCAACCCAGACTCTCGAGCGTTTCCCTGACTATCACCAAGTTTGGCAAAAGTTCCTCCTCCAAATGGGCGAAAAGGAGGATGTCGTCTAAATACGGAATAAGGGAAATCTTTTGTATGTGGTGATAGGAGACCACCTCTGAAAGAATCTTCGTAGTCTTGGAGCCGCAGAGATTCTGAAAGGCAGGGCCCTGAACTGAAAGTGGAGAAGCCCTCTTTCCGTTTGAAGGGCAAATCTCAGGAATTTTTGATGTCTTGACCAAATTGGAACATGGAGGTATCCATCCTTCAAGTCCAAAGTGACCATGAAGACATACTTCTGCAAGATCTTGTGGACCGAATATATGTTCTCCATCCTGAACCTTCTGAACAGGAGATACCTGTTCAACTTCTTTAGGTTCAGTATTAATCTGAACTTGCCCCCCTGGCTTGGGTACAAGAAAAATTTGGGAATAGAACTCCTGAAATATCTGATCCTTTGGAATTGGGACAATTACATCCTGAGAAACAAGATTTTGGACACACTCCCATAGTGCAACTGCCTTTAAGTGATTTCTTGGCAGAGGCGTAAGAAAAAAAGTTTGGAGGAGGGAAGAGTCTGAAACTAACCGAACACTCTCCCTTACTAAATCTAGTATGTACTGACTGTTATTTTTACCCAATGGGGAACAAAAAGAGAAAGCCTTCCTCCCACTTTCAGTGAGGCGTCATTTTGACTCTTTGTTGAAGGGGTCAAGAGGAGTAAAGAGCAAACCTCCTTTTTGCTTATTTTTGTTAAAAGGCCATCTGCTCCTGAGGTCTCCCTCCCTGTTTTTTCTGGTCTTGGGGGCCTCGAAAAAAAACAACGTTTTTTTTCTTCTCAGGTAATTTCTTCCCCTTTTCTTAAGATCTAGTTATCACCTCTTCCAAGCCCGGACTGAAGAGTAACTTTTCTTCAAAAGGGCAAACCACACAACTTGGACTTAGAGGAAACATCCCGTCCCAAGATTTCAACCAGATAGCTCTGCTGGCCGAATTGAGAAGAGCTGCTGATCTAGCCGATGCTCGAACAGATTCGGAAAACTCTGCCCTCTGAATCCTGCAGCCCCTGTAAAGCCTATCCTGCACAGAACATGCTTTAGGAGGGTCAGCAATCTGAACCAAGATGTAACTTAGTTGAACCTCAGCAGATAGAGGTCCTGGCTGCCACATCATATGCTTGTTCACAGGCATTCCATACAGCATGTATCTAGACAAGGAATATATGTGTAAGTGAATTGACTTGCATGTCATGTATTTACATAATACATGGAGAAAGAGCACACTGCAGAAAATATTGTTATAGGCGTATTCATGTGAAAGAGACGCAACAAATAAGGTGTATGCAGGTGAGGCCTATGCGGCCAGCAGACAATCAGAATCATCACATGTCATAGGTATAACCTAGTCACTGGTTACTAATCTGTAATATAGCTAATCAGTGGAGGAGATGACATGCCAAGATTGAACACACTAACCCTGGCTTACAGTAGGCACTGTTAACCATCAAGGAGGTAGAGCTCCAGCCCTAAGGGCCAGTTCACACCATATCCAGTCCAGTTAGTTCTGACACGGTTCATGCCTGGTACGCATTAGATAGCATAATTAAAGTCTCACGCGTTCGGGGGGGGGGGTCATTCACACCACCAGAGCGTGTGGTACAGCAATGCCCATGTTCCGGGCGATGCAATTGCAAAAATAGTACATGCACCACCACACCCCCTCCCGCTAAAAAACGCAAAGGCTTTAATTACGCAATCCAGTGCGTTCGGGCCACTAACCATGCACTGGATGTGGTGTAAAACGGCCTTTAGACCTGGACATGACCCAAGGTCTTAGCAGAAAACATATTAACCCTGAGGCTTGAAGGCTAGCTCACACCAGAACTGCTGTGTGCGTCTGCACAGCTGCTGTACGATGTGTATTACTGCGATTTATATTTTTTGGGGGGGTTGTTAAAAATGGGATTTAAGGTGTGTTTTCAGTGTGTTTGCATGCGTTTTTGGAGGTGGTACGTTGCAGCTAAAATAGGCAAGCAGTATTTTTTCTGACTGCATCGGAATGGACTGCACTGGTGCGAACCAGAAATCCCATAGGAAAGCATTGTGATACATTTTGGTTGCAGCTTTCAAACTGAATGTACTGCATCAAAACTGCAGCTGGTGTGAACTAGCCCTAAAACTAGTGCAATCAGAAGTCCAACACCCGCATGTGTTAATGATCATTTATTAATCAAAAGGTTTGTCTATGCAGTGCATATGTAGAAGGTTTAGCACAGGAGCCTGTAGGGTAACAGTTGCAGGATTTCATTTTTCAAGATCAGTCTAGGATTGAGTTATTGTGCTTATGTTGGTTAGGGCTATAGCCTAAAACAGATAGCCCTGATGCAACCACAGAAGACAGGCCCATAAAAAATTAAATTAATTTATCACAAAAGCATTGTAGTAACCCTTTAGATTATGGTTCCAAAATAACTAAGATTCAGAACCAACAGCATTACCAAAAGTACAATGGCAATATGTAGTCAGTTATGTAATGGTTGGGAACCATGTTATTAGTATTTACATATTAAAAATAACCAAAACAAATATGAAAAAAAATACGTAAAAATACCTGTGAATATTTGAACAGGATTTCTGTCACTTTTCCTCCAAACCTGACCGTTTTCTTTGGCGGAGAACTCAAAAATTCATTAGGTTCAGTCATCGTTTCCTTGCAGAAAAGTTAGATGTGCACTTCAGTGTCTGGAAATATAGCTAAAACTTAAATAAAATAAAAAAAGCACACAGTAAATACATTATAGCTTTTTTTTCTCTCTCATTTTTAATAGTGGCTGTTAAAATATATAGAAGTGGAAGTAAAGTCTGTTTTACAAAACAAAGTGCAGACAGGTTGCTTTTTACAACAGAAGAGAATGCTTAAGTTGCTTCTACCATAGAGGCTGCAAGATGTCTGTCAGCATTTTATGCATGCACAACTCGGTGTACAGCCTTGGCACTATTTAGTGCAGAAACAAAGCAACTCCTGTGTGCATGCAAGCAAGTTACGTTATTTGGACGAAGCCAACTCAAGAGACTAAAGTCTCCAAACACAGAAGACCAGGAGTAGATGGAATTAATCTGGCAGTTTACTTCCTGTTTAACTTAGAAACCAATGAGAAGACAGAAAACGTGGCAAATAAGACTTCAATTTAACATGCATTAAAATATTAATTCAATCTAGTATTTTCTTTTAAAGGGCATGTGTACATTCATTAAAAGTACACTTAACCACCCTCCCTAGCCCTCCGGACCTAAACTAAACAACTCTATGCATGACTATAAGGGCTCGCCGCAAAGGGAGGTAAAACCAGTGTGAAGTAAATCTATAGTGAAAGCAATATGTGGGTCAACGCCAAAGCTAAACTATACATGCTCATTAGCTGCCATTTTGCTAAACTATAGGTATTCCTGATGCCTGCTCTGCCCTGTTGGTAGATCATCCCTCAAATTTTGCATGAAGACCAATCCTCCCCTGAGTGTGAAACTCCAGAGTCCACCACAGCTCTAACTAGCTCCTCCTGATGATCCCCACTCATTACAGAATACAGTAGTGACTCGGAGGTCTTCAGGAAGAACCAGTGAAATCTGTCAGGCACCTAAGAGATACACAATCCATAAACTGCTGGCTACCTGGTGTACTTCAGCGGACAATTTCTACTGAACGTAGTGGCATTCGGCAACGAGGGCACAAGGAAAGGTGAACGTATACTCTCTTCATTTAGAGTTGACAGGAGTCTTAAAGGGTATCTAAACCCAAAACCATATAGTTGAATATATTGCAGCTCACTAGTCTTAGGATAGTGTGGCTGCATTAGTTTTCATTTTTCAGACCGAGTACATTTTCAGCAGGTACAGAAAGTACCTGTTGATCTTGCCAGAAATACAGTCTTCCTTGTCACTTTCTGTAAGCACAATAATTAACTTAAAAAGGTTTCTAAACCTTTTGTTTTTTTGCCTACATCCCTTTAAGAGAACAAAGATTGTTATTCAAATGATTACCAGGTGAAAATGAAGGTAAAGTGGGCAAAACTAAAAAATAAACGTATTTGGCCATAACATCTAAGGGCCAGCAAACAGAAATTTATTTAAAATTTGAGTTTATTAACACTTTAGGGCCCGTTCATACCTACGCATTGAGTTAATCGCATGATATCATGGCATTAACGCCCACTATCGTGCAATACCTCTACCATGCATCAGTGTGGCAGTTACCAATTAAATGAATCGCACCTGAACACCCATCCCTGCTGCAAAGCAGCACAATGTGTGGTATCACAATACAATGTGTTGCATTGTGGTAAAAAAACATAGGGGGGGGAAATAGCAGGCACTATAGTTTTTAATCCTCATTTACATTACCTACTATAAACAAAATACATTAGCAAAAGCTCTCTCTATAGGAGAGTTTCTTTGAAGATTGTAATTAGCTTTAGCTTATATGAACAGACTATATTTTTTACGTATGCACATGTAAAGAGACCTGTTAACAGGATGGAAACTGCAAGAACAAAGTACAGTGATTGCTATCCTTATACTGTAAACAAGGGGTTATAACCTTTTAAAGTGACAAGTAATAGATTTTAGCAATGACATTACTTAATATGAAATATATTGTCCCTACATTTCTCCAAGTGAATGCAGAACTTGGAGAAAGGTAATTCAGCTGGACAGAAAATAGTTCGTCTTACACAGAGAAAGCAATTTCCTAACTTATGTATTGGCAGCTCTCGCACAAAAAAGGGTTGGATTTAAGAACATAACAGAGCAACCATTCATGGACACCAATACATACTGATCAAATGTCAATTAAATTTTCCAAACCCTTTAAAAACAAATCATGATAACTTAGCATATACTCTAAAAGAAACCTGTCCCAAAGCAGCAGTGCTTATTTCTTCTTCTGAAAATGCTAGCAGTCTGGCTTCAGTAGACGGCCTGAAATCCTACAGGTACACCAAAAACATACAGTTTCTGATCTCTATAATTGTTTCAAATGAATCTACAGACTAAAAGTGAGGCAATTAACATTTCCATTAAAAAAAATAGCAGTACAGCTGTATTTTTGTCTAACCACTTAGATCATATCACAACTCACAATAGCATACCAATGCACATCCGCACGCAGATCAGTAGTATAACGTGCCCCACTGTGCAAGTGAGTGAGAGCGGTACTGGAAATACGTTTTAAGGAGCAGGAAGTGGGGCACCGCAGGCAGCGTAGCTACGCGGCCATATTGAATGTACTGAGAGTTGCAGACACGGTGTTGTGTCGAATTCTGTTCCCCCGTCGATATGTGTTACCTAAGCCGCTCGGCTATTTCCGTAGGCGCTCCTACTCCCTACAGCAGTATCTGAATCTCATAGCCCCGCCTCTCTCGAAGCTCCGGTTGTATGTTAGAGATGTTATTCGGTTGTGTGTGCGATGTGATCGCTGAATTGTGCACGATCGTCTGTCCCTCAAATCCCTCCACAGTCTTTCTTATGCTGGCTGCGATCTGTTCTATGTCCTCTTCTGTTCTCCAGCGGATAAAACATAGGATTCAAAATAAACATATTTTTATTTATGTGTAAATCTGTATATGTGTGCGAATGAGAACCTTCTCAGACACAAATGTGCATAGAGTCTTCAAATTTTCTGGTCATATAAATTACATACCGCTCATCATAATCCGTCATCGTAGTCCTCTCCATTAATCCTAATACGCTCGTCATAGTCCACACCGCTCACCATAGTCCGCTCATCATAATCCGCACTGATCATCATAGTCCGCTCCGCTCATCATAATCCGCTCAACATAATCCGCACTGATCATCATAGTCCGCAATGATCATTATAGTCCGCTCATCATAATCCCTATTGATCATCATAATCCGCACGGATCATCATAATACGTACCGCTCATCAGGGCCGGCCTTAGGGGTGTGCGAGCCGTGCGGCCGCACAGGGCGCCATGGCAACAAGGGCGCCGTGCGGCCGATCATCATAATACGTACCGCTCATCATAATCTGCATTTATCATAATCCGCTCATCATAATCTCCACTGCTCATAGTCCGCACCGCTCATCATAATCAGCACTGCTCATCAAAATCTGCACCGCTCATCATAATCCACTCATAATAATACCCACTGCTCATCATAATCCGCAGTGTTCATCATAATCTGCACCGCTCATCATAAACCAATCATAATCTGCATTGATCATCTTAATCCGTACAGCCCATCCCAATCCACACCGATAATCTTCATTTGTACTGCTCATCCCAATCCACACACATCATCTTAATCCATAGTGCTCATCCTAATCCACACTGATAATCTTAATCCTATAATATGCTTTTTGAAATCCATACTGCCAATCGTAATAGGTACTGCTCATATTAATAGGTACTGCTCATAGTAATCAACAATGATAATATTAATCTGCAATACTCATTGTAATCCGTAATGATCAGCCTAATCTGCACTGTTCATCCTAATCATGCTTCACACCCCAAATGGACCATCCTCATTGTTCTTCAGTTCCTCAGACCCTCTCAGTCCAGGAGAAACAGATTTTGATAGCAGGCTGAAATTTGATATCAGAATTGGTTCCCCCTCCAATATGGCCTCCATGCAATTAAAATGGATCAAATCAATTGTGTATGCCACCTCTGAGTACCCCAAAAAGACCATCCTCACAGTTCCTCAGACCCTTGTTCTCCAGGGAAAACGGAATTTGATAGCAGGCTGCCATTTGATATCAGAATTGGTTACCCCACTCCAGGGGCGGACTGGGCCGGGGGGCAGGGTGGCAATTGCCCCCAGGGCCTCTCCGAACAATTTTTAAAACAAAATCCGGGGACATTTTATCCCCGGAAATAAAATAAACCTTTTTTTTATTTTTTATATTCACCTGATCCCTGCATCCACCAAAAGTGTGGCCCCCCATCTCCCACGCTGTTAGAAGCTGCATACAGAGCGCGCTGGTTACTACTTAAAGCGGCACGCTGTGTGCAGCTTCTGAGAAGATACGCTTTTAGCGTAGCCTGAGTGATGCAAAATGCGCAGCCGGCTTCCTCGCTATGCTAATAGCGTATCTTCTCAGAAGCTGCACACAACGCGCCGGTTTAAGTAGTAACCAGCACGCTCTGGATGCAGCTTCTAACAGCGTGGGAGACGAGAGGCTGCGCTTGTCGGTGGATCCAGGGATCAGGTGAGTATTAGAAAAAAAAATTATTTTATGTTCCCGGGGACATTATTTGTCTGGGGATGGTCTCCTCAATCTGGCTGGAGACTGTCCCCAGAAATCGGGTATGAATGTAAGGCTGCAACAACTAATCGACTAAGTCGATTATAATCCATGATTGAAAAAGTTGTCAACATTTTAACACACATCGCACCTCCTCCCCGCCTCACCCTTGCCACTGCCAGACCCGCCCGCATCCATGCTCCACACGCTGCACCTCCTTCCCGCCTCACGCTTGCCGCTGCCAGACCCGCCCACATCCACGCTACGCTTGCCACTGCCAGACTCGCCCGCATCCACGCTACACACATCGCACCTCCTCCCCGCCTCACCCTTGCCACTGCCAGACCCGCCCGCATCCATGCTCCACACGCTGCACCTCCTTCCCGCCTCACGCTTGCCGCTGCCAGACCCGC